GGAAGAATTGACAATAAAGCAGACTTGACTTGACTTGACTATATGAAACCAATAGATAAAAGCAAACACATTTTTTTCTGATGTAAGCATCAAAACAATGCCCTGCCGTATTGCAACGCATCTAAGCAGTCAATCCAACACAGTCAAAAATAACTTAAAGAGGTTGCCACCGTTTAGTAAACTGTGGACTAGCTTTGGCTCTTCCTGTTGACTTGAATGGTGATGCTTCCTGTTTGTCAGTTGATGACCTTTCATTTTTAAACAGAAATGTGCACGCTGCTTTTCTGATGTTCACTGAAGTTTTCCGTGTCTTTTTCCCGTGTCACTTGAAATGTTTCCGTTTTGAATCGTTGTTACCAAAGGCGAGACACGTGAGGAAAAATAAATGATCAGCTGTGGGACTATATTCTGTCATAAATCGCACACCATTCATTTCTGAACTTTCTACCGTCTGTTACTGGAAATGAAATTACTGGTTGATATGTCCTGATCTCAATAAAGTTTACACACGCTTTTGGTCCGTGAATTAGATCTCGCTCGGGACACACGCTGTCTGTGGAGGTTTGACCAGGACCGGTTCCAGAATTAAATCAACATATTTTATGTTCCGTCCATTGCCAATCACTGCTATTTCGAGAGTGAATCCCGCATAAATATGCGAATGTCATTCCTGAAACTTTGCAGGGTGTAGCTTATGTGTCCGAAAAACAAAAGTTTCATACAAATTCTGAATGGATTATACCAGGGCTCTACGCTTATTTTTCTTTTTTACGCTTAAAAAATTTAGGAGCACAGTCAAAAATTTAGGAGCACCTTCTAATCAATAATCCAAAATTTGATCAAAAATGAGCCTTCCCATTACGAGGTGATATTTGACTCCTTAAAGTGATTTACAGTGGTATTTTGTTTTTACCTTTGTAATGGCATTTTTCTAAAAAAAAAATTATATTTTATAAGCTTTTTAAAAATTCTTATTAAAACCACAAAATAAGAACAAGTAGAATAAGAAGAATAAGTCACTAATCAAATGAAATCAGTATTAAAATTAATTTGTACAGAGGTGGCACAGAAGAACACAAAAGTGGCTTGTAGGTGTATTTTCAGACATTTAATGAGGAAAGTGGCATGAGTGCAATTAAATCCGTAAATTCATGTTAAGATTAGTGTTTTAAAAAATGTTGAATATAGAAATATTAAATGATTTAAAGAACTGAAAAGATACTTTAAAAATGAAACAAACTGCCAGCAGGTGGCGACAAGTCACTGATTTTATCACTGAATCATTCATTCAGTTGATTCATTCGAACGGCTGATTCATTCATGAATGAATCTTTATGAGATTCTTCTTAATGTCTTCTTAATGAATCTTAATGTCTTTATGAATGGGTAATTATGAATCACTGACTCACTAGATTCGTTTAAAAACGCAGTTCATTCATAAACGAAACACCAGTGTTTGAATGGACATGCACAGCGGCTGAGCTGTGACTTTGTTTCAAACTATTTTCGACGACGAAATAGAGCAAAATCAGATAATAGTGTTATAGTCAGACAATGTAAGTCACTTAATATTAAGATTCATGAGATATGTCTGTGATACATTACTCAACGCTGCAAAAACACGTAGAAACCTTTGAAGCTCCCCTCAGCAATCACAATCACAAATATGATTAAGATCTGGTTAGTCGCACTGGTGCTCCAAAATATTTTTTCATAGTCGCACGCAGTAGTTTTCAGTCGCAAATGCGACTGAAATGGTCGCACTGTAGAGCCCTGTTAGAAAGTGCGCAAAGCACGCTCCCTTTATCACTAAATTACGTCACTCATCTTCGTTCATTGCGAACTTACAACGTTCCGTTATAATCAATGAAGCTCTCTAAACTGCACAATGAATCTCTTATTTACACCCTGTCTACACTTTGCTTATGAAA